ATAATAATTATTTTTTAATTTAAAAAATATTTTTATTTTAAATTTATTATTATTTTTTATTTTAATTATTTATCTTATCCTTAAAAAATCTCTTTTTTTAGTTCCTTTCTAAAAATAAATACATAAAAATAAAAATTATTTCTAAATAAAAGAATAATATTTTTGGATTCAATCTTGATCTTTACCGTACTAAAATAAGCTTAGTCTGAGCTATTTGGAAGATTAATGATTGGCGTGCCTGATGGGTCATGGAAGGGAGGAAGTCTGCTGTATCACCGGGATATAGCAGACGTGGTATCCCAATTCAATGGGAAAACACCACATCAACAATTTTTTCACACTTCATCAATCACAAACCTAAAAAAAAATTGATGTGGTGTTTTCTCATTGGGTTGGGATACCACGGCTGCTGTATCCCGGTGATGCAGCAGACAAAATCCATGGAAGGTGGTTACAACAGTTTTTGTAGAGCTTATTGTCCAATGAGATTGAAGTGGTAGGCCCAGTCTACACCGCACTTCGGCACCTTACATTAACAATCTTTATACGAGACCATCTCTGTTAAAGTTATTTATATTTTTTTATTTATAATTGTTGGATTTAATTTTTAATTTTTTTAATTTAAATAGTTAAGATGTTTTTAAATTAGTTTTTATGTGTAATTTAAGATTAAAATTTTATCAAACAATTTAAAGGAATACCTTCTTTATTAGTTTTGCATATTTAAAAAAATTAATTTTCTTAACCATTCACTTTAAGCTTTAAGTTTTAAATTTGATTTATAAAATAACATGTATTAATAAATTTAATTTTAAAATATGTTTAGATTGAAAAAAATAAAGTGAACAAAGTGGAAGGGAAGGAAAAAAATTATTTATGTGATTATTAAAAAAAATTAGAGAAGAGGGAAGGAAAAAAAATTTTATTATTTAATTTTTTATTTTAATTTAATTATTTATTCAAATAAGAGAAAATAAGGAAGAGAAATGAAGGAGGATGGAAAGGTATAACTAATCCCCCCACCAATTGAAACACTTCATCCATTCTAAGTGAGAAATTCTGCACATCAGCAACAAAGTGATTTGTGCCTTCAACTGATTC